TATTGTAGAAATCTACAGAGTTGGGAGCCTCTCAGGGACAGCTCCACAGACAGGCATGACCTGGCAAGGCCAGCTAGTAAACAGGGCTCAAAAGGGACAGGATGCTTCTTTCGTGTCTAGTGCTTTGACCAATGGAGGCCTCTCAGGGGCAAGTTTGAGAACCATCTAGTGAAACAATGGAAAATGCTGCCTCTTCATTTGCAAATCTTTTCCCTCCTATAGTGTACATCCAGGACACAGCTACCACAGAAGGAGACCGGTGTGGTGGTTTGAATAAAAACGGCTCCCATAAGCTCATATATTTGAATGCTTAGTCATTAGGGAGTAGCACTATTTGAGAAGGATTAGGAGGTGTGGCCTTGCTGGAGTGGGTGTGGTCTTCTTACAGGAACTGTATCACTGGGAGTGGGATTTGAGGTTTCAAAAGCCCAAGCCAGGCCCAGTTCTCTTTCTTGGTCTATGGATCAAGATGTAGGCCTTAGCTACTGTTTCGGTGCTATTCATGCCACCATGATGATAATGAACTAAACCTCTGAAACTGTTAGCAAGCCCCTAATTATATACTTTCTTTTATAAAAGTTGCCTTGGTCATGATGTCTCTTCACAGCAATAGAACAATGATTAAGACAACCATCCAGGCGAAAGTGACAATTTATTCTCCTTGAAGCAAAGGGTATGTGTTTTCCAGATGCCTGAATCAGGAACAAAAAGAAACCAAAAAGTTAGTAGCCATTTGTTCTAGTTAGGGTGTCTATTGCTGTGAAGAGACACCATGACCACGGTAACACTTACAAAGAAAAAAAGTTAGTAGCCATTTGTCCTAGTTAGGGTGTCGATTGCTGTGAAGAAACACCATGACCATGGCAACTTTTACAAAGGAAAACATTTAATTGGGTGGTTTACAGTTCAGAGGTTGAGTCCAATATCATCATGGTGGGACATAGCGGGACATGCATGCAGATATTGTGCTGGAGAAGTAACTGAGAGTTCTACATCTTATGCAGGCAACAGGAAGTGAACTGTCTCACTAGACATGGCTTGAGCATATATGAAACCTCAAAGCCCACCTCCACAGTGACTTCCACTTCCTCCAACAAGACCACACCTACTCCAACAAGGCCACACCTCCTAATAGTGTCACTCCTTTGGGGGGCCATTTTCTTTCAAACCATCACACCATTGCACACAAGATCTGGCCATCCAAGAAAGTACCTCATACCAGCTTCTAAATAAAGAGCCTCATACCAGCTTCTAAATAAAGAGCCTTCCAGGGATTGAGACTGCTAAACTAGGCCAATAACTAAAGGTCTTGGGTGATAAGCCAGACTGTAAGACATACTTTTATCACCAGTGAGCATTCACAGCCAATTCATGCTGCCTGAGGACACCACACAAGCCCTCAAGACATGGAGCAATACCCAAAAGCAGTTTTCTTGTTTTCTTACAGGGAACCTTGTAGCAGTTGCCTGCTGACCTAGAATCAAAGAACTGCCCGGCTCTGCATCTCTCATCTGGATTGGACCCAGGAAAGCACTCTGCATAGGCTCATTCCTCTGAGTGTTCTACAGTGGCGCCAGCAGGAGCAAGAAAACCAGGACACCTGAGAAGTCTCTATTGTTTGAATATGCCTTGTCTCCTCTAAAACTCATGTTGAAATTTGATTGCCATTGGATGGGTGCTGGGAAGTGATGTCTTTAAGAGATAATTAGGCCATTAGGAGAGTTTTCTTTTTTTACTACATTGCATCATTACAGTGTGTGTGTGTGTGTGTGTGTGTGTGTGTACATATGTACAATCTACAGGAGTCAGTTCTCTTTCTTTCTACCATGTGGGTCCCAGGTGAAGGAAATTCCCCAAACCAGGACTATAAAACAGGCCCAACCTCCAAGAAAATTGCTGTCCATGGAATTTTAGAAAATAACCAATGGCCCTGGAACCAGAAGGTTGCAAAAAAAAAGGCAATTATGACCTCTCTCTCTCTCTCTCTCTCTCTCTCTCTCTCTCTCTCTCTCTCTCTCTCTCTCTCATTCTATAGGGTTTTTTTTTTTTAGGGAGGGGTTCTCAGAAAAAGAAAAGTGGTTTTTCCAGAAAAGCAGTTTCTGGGTCTGGCTCTGCCCCACCCTCTCCCTATTCTCAATTTCAAAAACTGCAGGGTTTAGGGGGTAGGGTGCTGCCTCTTAGACCTGTAAATCTACTCTTAGCATCAAGGTCAACCTGAAATTCTCATTCTTTATTTCACCTATGTACTCAAATTCTTTCCTCCTTTCTTCCCTCATTCTCCTTCTCCAAAGACTCTCTATATAGCTCTGGCTGTTCTGGATCAGGCAGGCCTTGAACTCACAGAGATCCACTGCCTCTACCTCCTGAGTTGCTGAGATTAAAGGCGTGCAATACCACGCCCAACTCTAAAACTCTGTGCACAAAAACTTCTGAAAAGTTGCATCTGGCTGTGAATGAAAGTTCCTGAAGGGAATCTGTCTGCAGAGACTGACTGACTGATTAGAATTTCAGTACCATGGAAAGAGTGGATTGTTGCCAGTGCAGAGGCAACATTCCAACCTTATCTTCGGCTAAATTCTGGCCCTTCAAAACAGTCATTCCTTGCCCTCCCTCCCCATGTTGGAACTAACATCTTGTGACAATAGATTTAAAAAAAAAAACTTTTAGGATCTATTAACTTAGCAGGCAACTAACTTCTATCAATCCAAAAGCTAAGAAGACTACCAGATTGCATCTTGAGTCTATAGGAAAGTTTCCCCCATCTCCAAGTATCTGTCTCTCTGATATATCCACCAATGTATTATGAACTTGCCTTGATTTATAAATTTCTCTGTTCCATTAAAGGATAACAATTCTGTGACATTGCTGCCATGTTGGAACATGGAATTTTGTGGGGGAGGTTGATAAACTAAATCCGTGTTCCTGGGCATAGACACTCAACATGGCTCCAGAATAAACTATCTCTTATTTCTTTTAAGATGAGAGATATGGGTTTTGCATCAACAACTCAAATCCTTACACCAGAGATGCAACGCAGGTCCTCAGCCTTGGCAGCAGGCACTTTTATCCACTGGGCTATCTTGTTAACACATTTGTTAAGAGGACTCAACGCCTTTCTTTCCTGAGTTTGTTCTTGTGAGAGTGGGTTGTTACAGTTAAGCCATTCCCAAGTCCTTCACAGAGGCTAGCTCCAAGCTCTGGGATTTTCCAGTCTCCAAAAACAAGAGCCAAAACAAATTATTCTCTATGAACCACCCAGTCTCCAGAACTTTGCTGTAGCAATGGAAATGGACTAATTGTCAAGAACAGCAGCAGTGCCAAGTGCCTTCACTTGCTGAGCCAGCTCACTGAATGGTTTCTGATGAGAGTGCTTCCAGAGGGACACTGAGACAGATCTGGGGGGAAGGAATTTATTAGAAAGGTTATCAACACCATGGATAGACAGACAGAAGCAACAGCATGACATGGTCTCTGAAGAGAGGTCTCAGAGCCCCCATGGCAGAAGAGTGCTTTCAAACCTTTCTGAGGATGAGTATTCACAACAAGAGCCTCCAGCCAGGCTCTCTGATTCCAGGCAGTTGGCAGGGAAGTGGGTGGGGAGCAGAAAGAATGACCAATACCCCTTTTGATGTTAACTCACTTCTGGGTTGAGAGATCATGGCACCCTCACAATATCTCAGTGTATGTCAAGGTTCTCTAGAGTCACAGAACTTGCCAAGCACGCACGTGTGTGTGTGTGTGTGTGTGTGTGTGTGTGTGTGTGTGTGTGTGTATGTTACCAGGTTTTCTGCCTCCCCTCCTCCCATAATAGGTTTCTCTGCTGATACAGTAAGCCAGATCAAGCCAAACTGAAAAAGTATAACAACAGGTTTATTTGAGCAAAGCAATTCCAGGGCAGGTTCTCCAGTCCCAGAGATGGAGGTCAGAGAAGGAGAAGCTGTGTCCACAAACAAAAGCAGGGAGACTTTATAGTATATAGGTGAGGTGTGATGACGTGTCCACCAAAACCTGGGTTTGTGCCCAAGTATGGTCAAAAGTTGAACGCTTTAGGTGGGGACTTGGGTGGCTGGCAACTTCAGAGGAGGAAGCTGCTTGCCCTAACAGCCAAGAATGTGGAACTGGGCTTTTTGGTTCCTTCCCTTTGTTTGAAGATTCTCTGAGTGGATAGGGTTTGGAGAGAGAGACAGGAATGGGCTTTCTGGATTATGCAGGGATGAGCTGGAGGTTCCAGCCAAACATACACACACACACACACACACACACACACACACACACACACACACACACCTAATAGCAGAAGGCTAAAAAGAAGGTTCTTAGTTAAGAGCATTTGCTGCTCTTCCAAAGGACCCACATCAAGCAGCTCACAAGAGCCAATAACTCTAGCTCCAGGGGATTAGAGTCCACTCCTGACCTCCACAGGCATTCTTGCCCCACTCCCAGACACACAAATAAATAGTAAAAAAATAAGTCTTTAAAGCATATGCATATGGCTCAGTTCGTGGAGTACTTACCTAACATGCACAAGACTCTAGGTTTGATCCCTACCACTGTATAAACTGGGTGTGATAGTGCACAACCGTAATACCAGCTCTTGGTGGGTGGTGAAGGCAGGAGGATCATCTTCTACTACATGGAGATTTCAAAATAATTCAAGGGCAGCTTGTCTCAAAACAACAAATTCTCTCTTGGTTTTCCTTTCCCTTCTGGCCATGGCCTCATTTCTCCTTACCCTTTCAGCCAACTTGCTTCAACAGAATTGCCTCTGCTTTCTTCCATCTTTTTCAAAAAGATTTGGTTTGTTTTAAGTGTGTGTGTGTGTGTGTGTGTGTGTGTGTGTGTGTGTGTGTGTCCTGAGGTTTGCACCCTGTAATAGGAAATAGAACTCTACTCCCAAGAAATAAAGATTTTGCTGTTGCCATAAGAATCCTAAAAGATTAAACTTAATTGTTACACCTAGCCCATTGTGCACAAGGAAGAAGAGACAACACTTATGGGTTCCAAAGATTTTAATAATTTATACATAAGTGGCATATTGATCAGGGCTTCAGGACTTGGGAGCCTTGTTTCTCCTGACAGCCCCAAGCAGGGCCAGAAGTGGGTTTATAAGCACAAAAATCACAAACACTTGTTGCCAAATTACAGATACAATTTTCAGCCAATCAGGATTTAGAGATTAGGGGCTTCTTTGAATGTTCCATCATTGTCAATCAATCTATAATGCAAGCCTTTCAGTCCAACCAATCAGATTCATTTGTTCTTTCTATTTTGGGGAACAGTTATAACATTTCTAGAGAACTAAAGATGCATAAAGACTATTCTTTATAAGAGGAGGTTGGTCAGCCATTGGAGAATTCTCAACTTCCCTAGGGCTTGGGAACTTGAACTGTATTTCATCCTGCAGGTAACGGAGTCTAAGGTCAAAATGGCAGTACTTAGGCCAGGGTGCTTTTGCCTTCTCTCTTCAATAATAACCAACCAGATAGACCAGAGCCTAAGATTGCTACTCTTTGTGAGTGTAGGTGCCCAAAGAGGCCAGAGGCATCAGACCCCCTGGAAATGAGTTATAGGCCGTTGCAAGTCATCTAATATGGTGCTAGGAATCAAACTCTGGAAGAGCAGTACATACTGTTAACCACCGAGCCATCTCTCCGGGCTCCCCCTCATCCATCTTGCGTGAGCCCACTCTGTTGAGGCATTTGCCCCACCGCTTTTCCAAGACTGCTCTTGACAAAGCCATCAACACTTCTGTTTGCTAATAATCCCCACCTTTTATCTCACCTCAGCACACAGCACAGCACACACCTTTTCCCTCAGGATCCAATGTGGGAGCACCCAGGGCACAGTTCTGTACTTTTGTACTTATTTTACAAGTCAAAACTGTCCTTCTCAGGGCAGGAGAAATGGCTGGACAGTTTAGAGCACTCGCTGTTCTTGCAGAAGATCCTGGTTTGGTTTCTGGCTCACAACTACCTGACTTCAGTTCCATATGATCCAGTGCCCTCTTCTGGCCTCCTCTGGCATTGCAGCCACTTTGTACATAAACATACATGAAGACGAAGCACCCAGTCACATAACAATAAATCCTTTTTAATATCCTCATCACTCCATATTAAATTGAGTTTTCTGTTTTCTCATGGCAGAAGTCAGCATAATGCCCATGTGTTACCTTGTGTAATCCTCACAATTCTGAGAGCTAGGTACACTCCTTCTACCGACCAGATAGGAGAAACCACAAAGCTGACATCTCAAAGCTCCTAGGCCATGTGATTGTTGCCCAGACTATGGACTGTGACAGCCCAACCCTCCCCTGAAAACCAGTAGGACTATACAGATTCAGGAGCCACAGAACTACAAGGTCGGAGGTTACCAGGGGAACAAGAGGAACGTGATCCTCAAGTATCATCAGACAACAACACAATCACTGTCTTCATGAGCCTGCATTCCAGTTTGTCTTGGGGCTGTGCTTGAGGCAGCGTGTTCATTCTGTGTACTCAAGACTGCAACTAGAACAATTCAGATTTTCAGTGAACAGATGGACAATCTGTTTCAAGTATAATTCTGCTTAATAGTGTTCATTTATACCTTAAAATCCTGATTGAAGAGCTGGAGGGAATGATTCATCAGTTAAGGGCACTTTCTGCTCTTCCAGAGGGCCCAGGTTCCATTTTCAGCACCCATGTGGGGACTCACAGCTGTCTGAAACTCCAGCTCCAGGAGATGTGATGCCCTCTTCTGGCTTCTGAGGACACCAGGCATACACATCATGTACAAACATACATGTAGACTAAATACTCACACACATAAAACATTTTTTTTAATCCCAGATGAGCACCTGGCTTGTGCTGAGTACTCTCCTTATGACATTTACATCCTAACAAGGGGGCAGACACTAAAAAAAATAATCACATAATGGTTTGCACCTGTAGTCCCCACATTTGGGGGCCGGGATCAGGCAGGTTAGCCTGGCTAGCCTGGGCTATACAGGGAATTCCAGGCCACTCACTCTGACCTACAAGAATAAATAAATAAATAGGGAAAAAAACTGACCGATGTCATAAAAGTAAAAGATGGAGCGCTGTGAAATAGGACAGGAGGCATGCCTAATTAATTAGAACGGCTGTCGATAAAGAGTAAAGAAGGAAATAGCCCGTGCTAAGGAAGGAGTGAAGAGGGTGGTACTAGTAATCTCATCTTCCCCGTGGCCACCTGTGCTTCCTAGAGTCTGCCAAAGATGGAGGACCTAAGTCCACGGGTCCTCACTTTGGATCCAGCTGTCCTCAGTGTCTTTATATCCAGAAATCCTGAGCCTAGCCGCTTTTTTTTTTTTCTTTTTTCTTTCTTAGGTGCGGGAGTGAGGGTGGGGAGTGGGGGGGGGGGGGGCCTGGATATAATTCCGAGAACTGAACTGGCCCCTGAAAGCCACAATGCTGAGGAGTTACTGGGGTGGCTCCAGAGCCCATAATAAGAGGCCAAGACAGGATGCCAGCAGGGAGGACTTTACAGAAGACAGGCTGTGTGTGGATATGGCTAAGGGCTTTGCCTGGGAGGGCTGGGACAACAGCTAGCCACTGGCCACTGATGGCCGTGCCCCTCTTCCCTGCCGCACTCCCCGTCTTGGCAGCACGTGTTCAGGTCTAGCAGGCTGCTGCTGGAAAGCTGGCTCTGACTAGAGGAAGGAGTTAAGAAAGTCCGGTTGAGGGCCAGAGAGACAGACCTGTGTTTGTCCAGGAAAAGAAGACAGACGTAGGCAGCAGAGGCCCCTGCCAGCTCCTCCCAGAAAGACTGGGCTGGGGGAGCAAGCTAGACAGGAAGCTAATCCCCTAAGGCTCTGCACACCGTGGGGCCAGAAGCCAGAGGCTGGTATCCAGCCGCTGCCCACAGGTAAGTTCTACACTCTGGGCACATGACGGAGCCGGACTCCGGCTCCGAGTCCCTGGCAGGCTATTGGTACTTTCTTTGCTCCTGGTGACTCGATGCAGGGGTGTATTGAGCCCGCTGCAAAGAAGTCTTCCTGAGCCCGCACTGGGGGTGGCGGAGAATCAATGGTGCCTTTGTGCTCTGAGGTTTCCTAAGGAAAAAGAGTGGACAGTGGGAGGGACCACTCAACTGCCCAGTTCCGCCTTACAGCCCCAGGATGCGGCAGGGCTGAGGAGCTGGGGGTAAAGAGGAAGGGAAAGGGGTTCTGCGACTCACCGAAAGAGGTGAATCCCCCTGGACTGGCCCTGGCCCTGCGTGTCTAAGGATCAGCAATCAGGCGTGTTCCCGGCTGCTAGGAGCAGAAGTGAGTTCTCTTGAAGGAGCAACTTGAGAAGGCAGGCAAAGGGTGATTTGGGGGAGGAGACAAGAGTCAGATGGGGCTAGAGCTCAAGGATAGGTCAATCCAGAGAAGCAGGCGCAGAAGCCGCTTGAGCCTGGAAGGAATTTTGAGGGCCCCAGACCAGATCATGGGTGTAGGACAAAGGGGCCAGTCTACCTAGGGCCTCGGTGACCTCATGGAGCTGGAGTATATAAGAGCAGGATTAATATCTGGGTCTGTGACTACAAGTCTTTGAGCAATACAGGTGTTATGCCCTCTAACCCTGAAGTGGGTGGAGTATACAAGGCCTCTAACTGAAAGTCATTTTGAAAATTTGTTAAGATGTATTTATTTTATTTTATGTTGTATGAGTGTTTTGCCTGCATGTATGTATGTGCACTACTCTGGTGCCTGCAGAGGTCAGAAGAGGGTGTTGGGTCCCTTGGTACTGGAATTATGGATGACTGTGAATCACCATGTCGGTGCTGGGAACCAAAGCCGGGTCCTTCGCAAGAGCAGCAAGTGCTCTTAACCACTGAGCCATCTCCAGACCCTCCATCTGATAATCTGTCTGGCCTTGTGCTCCATGTCTCCAGTTTCTAGACTTCACCCTTTCTTTTGCCTGCTTCTAAACACCAGCCTTGGTATCCCATGAGTTTGGGGACAAGGTCATGGAGGCAGACCGCCATGTGTTGGCTCTCAGCAGCATCACCGACCCTCGCATCCCCTTCTCTTCTCTCAGCGTACCTCTGTCCAGGGCTCCCAATCGGGAGGCTGGACTTGGACCTTCTCCGACCTCGGCGCTTCATTATCCCCACCCACTGCATGTGGCTCTTGGAGAAAGCCGGCTATAGGGTGGGGACCGCAGAGGCCGGGGCGCAGCAGCACGCGCACTCCAGCCTGGTCCCCAAGCGCCGGGCCCCAGGCTCGCCTTCGCGCTGCAACCCTAACGTCCTCACCCCCGACCGCATCCCGCAGTTCTTCATTCCGCCTCGGCTCCGGGACCCCAGCGGCACCGAGGCCAGGGTGGACCGCAACCTGGGCGGCCGGCACCTCCCCGTCGCCTGCTCGCTGCCGCACCTGGCGGGCCGCGAGGGCTGGGCCTTCCTGCCCGAGAGCCCGCACACGCGCCGCCGCGAGTCCCTGTTCCACGCGCCCCGTGGCCTGGCGGCGGCGGCGGGCCTAGCGCCGGCGCAGTCGCGGCTGCACGTCTCAGCCCCGGACCTCCGCCTCTGCCGGGCCCCGGACAGCGACACGGCCTCGTCGCCCGACTCGTCTCCCTGCGGCTCCCCTCGCACGCCCAGGCCGCACTCCTTGTCCCCCGACGACGAGGCCAGCTCGGCGGACACCAGTCCGTACGCGCCCCGCCGCGCGCCGCCGCTCTTCCACCTGGACTTCCTCTGCTGCCAGCTGCGGCCGACCAAGGACAGCGTGCTACGCCTGGGGCCCCGCGGCGGGCAGCTGCGCCTGTCCACCGAGTACCAGGCGGGGCCCGGGCGGCTGCGGCTGCGCCTGGTGAGCGCCGAAGGGCTGCCTCGGCCGCGGGCCCGCCCCGGGAGCGGCGGCGGCGGCTGCTGCGTGGTGTTGCGGCTGCAGCCACGCGTTAGGCCGCGAGCTCAACGCAGCCGCGTGGTCCAGGGCAGCTCGAACCCCATCTTCAATGAAGACTTCTTCTTCGAAGGCCTGGGCCTGCGGGACCTGGCCGCCCGCAGTCTGAGGGCCAAAGTGCTGGAGAGGGGCGCGGGGCTGCGCAGGGACGTGCTACTGGGCGAGTGTGAGACGCCCCTCATCGCCCTGCTGCCCCCCCTGGCTGGGGGTCTAGGCTCAGGGTCCTCCCTGGCACCTGCACATCTCAGTCTGTAGACTGACACCACAGCTTCCTGGGGGGGGGGGGTTCTCCACTGTGTCTGCAGCCCCGTATTCTTGCCATCTGCCCAACATGTATTTATTTTTGTTAATAAAACATCAGTTTGTCTCTAGCTGCATGCGCCACAGTGGGCACCAAAAACTCCAGGCTTTGCAGCAACTCTTTTCCTTCCTTTCCGCCCGATCCACTCATCTGAGCGGGAGCAGACCTTAAACAGTAGCTCAAGAGATTCAGAATCCAGGGATGTCAGAAACTCTGTAAGTGCTTGTTGAACATGCAGAGTCTAGGATCCATCCCCAAGCGATACTACTTCGAGAGGGCTAGGCTGAGTAGGGCCTAGGGTCCTATCTTAGTTTTATTTCCATGGCTGTGATAAACTCTCCCCAACCCCTACCCCCCCCCAAAAAAAAGGCAACATTTACGAAGAAAGGGTTTATTTGGTTTACAATTCCAGGTGATAGACCATCATTGTGGAGAAATCAAGGCCAGGACTTGAAGCAGCTAGTCACATCCACAGTCAGAAGCAGAAAGAGAGCCAGCTGGAGAGGTTCAGTGGTTAAGAGCGGACCCAAGTTCAGCTCCCAGCAGCAACGTCAGGCAGCTCACAGCTGCCTGTGAGACTCTGATTCCAAGGATCCCATGCCCTCTTCTGGTCTCTGAAGGCCAAACATGCATACACATGCATGAATAAACACATATACGTATAAATAAAAAAATAAATAAAGCAGAGCATGATGGCTCACGCCTTTAATCTCAGCACTTGGGAGGCAGGGGCAGGTGGGTCTCTGTAAGTTTTAAGTCAACCTCATCTACAAAGCAAGTTCCAGGCCAGCCAGGGCTATATAGTCAGACTCAATCTCAAAAAAAGTGTGTGTGTGTGTGTAGTTGGATTTTTCTTTGGGCCGCCAACCAGCTCCCAAATAAAGACATGGAGACCCACTATCAATTATGAATGCTCACCCAGGCTTGTTTCCTAGTAGTTCGTTTTTTGTTTTTTTGTTTTTTAACTTAAATTATCCCATTTCTATTCATCTATGTGCTGCCCCAAGGCTCGTTTACCTCATCTACATACTGTCCATCCTGCTTTCCTGCTTCCTCCATGTCTGGCTGGCTGGCCTCCATCCCTTCTCTGCCTAGCTATTGGTCATTCAGCTTTTTATTAGACCAATCAGGTGCCTTAAGAAGGAAAGGTGAAACAGCAACACATCTTTACATAGTTAAACAAATGCAACATAAACAAATGTAACATACTTTACATAGTTAAACAAATGCAGCATAAACAAATGTAACACATCTTTATGTGTTAAACAAATATTCTATTCCACAACATGTGTAGGTCTTCCACATTAATTAATTGTAATCAAGAGAATTCCCCACTGACATACCCACAGCCCAGCATGATCGAGACCATTCTACACTGTGTCAAGTTGACAATTAAACCTAACTGTGACAGGTTCCTAGAGTCCAACAAAATCCTGCACTTTCAGAGTCCTTGAGTCATTGAGTCACCTCAGCAAGAGCTCTAGGAACAGAACCAGAGCGCAAAGCCACCCTCCCCTGATGAAGGTTCCTTGGGTCTGCACAGAGGAAACTGGCCCTGCCTACTGATAAGTTTTTGCACCCCGATAAGCCTCTCTGCCATTGCAGCAATCCAAATCAGACCAAATCAGACCGAATTTTAAAAAGCCCCCGTTTAATGGGTAAAGCGTTCCCGGGTGATTCTCCAGTCCCCCCGAGAGGAGACAGGAATGAGAGACTGGAAAACCACGTGTCTGTTTTCTGGTATTCAGCTTTAATACCCTGTAGGAGTGGTCTTGAGCCTCTCTGGGGGAGGAGCTGTGTTTGGCGGGCTTTGAGGGGGCGGGCTTGGGGAAAGAGGTGGGGGAGGGGAGCTGAGGTGGCTCTTCCACCAGAACATTCCAGACTCTTTGGGTATAGGATGCCAGGGTGCCAGGGGCTGAGGTGGAACTCCCACCCAAACAAACCCCTTAGACCAATATCTGTCCTAAAGACAAATGAAATGTTTGAACCTTAAGTGTGAGACGGGGGGCACAGACAACCACACAGTGCCCTTTAAACCTCCCTGCCCCCCTCTGGCCGGTCCCACCCACACCTGTGCACCTGTGCACCAGGAGCAGGAAGAATGGCTGCAGTCAAGAACCACGGAGTAAGCCAGCCAAGTGGCAGACCCCTTTTTTTTTTTTTTTTTTTTTTTTTTTTGGTTTTTCGAGACAGGGTTTCTCTGTGTAGCTTTGCGCCTTTTCCTGGAACTCACTTGGTAGCCCAGGCTGGCCTCGAACTCACAGAGATCCGCCTGCCTCTGCCTCCCGAGTGCTGGGATTAAAGGCCTGCGCCACCACCGCCCGGCAAGTGGCAGACCCCCTTTAATCCCAGTGCAGAGACAGGCAGAGTTCGAGGCCTGTCTCGTCTACAGAATGAGTTCCAGAACATCTGTAGCTGCACAGAGAAACCCTGTTTGGGGGAGTGGAGTGGGGTGTGTGTGCGCAGAGTAGTGCTTGGGCAGCCAGCAGTCCTTAGGGTTTATAGGGACTGGGATCTGGGAGAGAGGATGCTATCAGTGAGAGCTGTCCGTCCTCAGGGATGCCAGAAAAGGCTACTCCAGCCAGGAGCTGAGGGTGAAAGGCAGAGGAGTAAAAGTGGGTCAGACTGTGTTTACCTCCTACCTGAAAGTCCTTGACGTCAGCAGTGACCTTCTCTCCACCTCTGCCTTCCCGGGAACTGGTTCCTCCTGGCTTAAGTCATGCTCGGAGGAGGGAATGGGGAAAGGAAGGCAGATGACAGGCCCTAGAACAATCCAGCTTCCTCCTCCTCCCCCTGAGGCCTTTTCTCACTTCCCATGGTGCCGGCCGTGCCCTCCACAGGGATTAAACCTGCTTGTTCCCATCCAAAATCTCAGCAGCAGCCGCGTGCGCGTGCACTCACACACACACACACACACACACACACACACACACACAACACACACACACACACACACACACACACATACACACACACACACACGCACACGCCCACACCCTTCCCAAGGCAGAAGTTTCCCCAGCGCCTTCTTCCTGCACTGATTAGGTTTCCACCACCAATCCCTTGCTCACGGCGTCCACCAGGTGGTGGCATTGACCGAACAATACTCCCTGCTGACAGTACCGTGAACCCCCATAGGAGGAACTGTTCAACTTCAAACATTTGCTCCTCCTGGCAACTGCCATCAGGTGAGTGTACAGTTGTGGTTCAGTGTGACCTTGGACTTTAGTCAGATAATAAAGACTAAAACTAGGTGGCATGACTCAAGGTACTTGTCATCAAGCCTGACAATTTGAGTTTAATGCTAGAGATCCATAGGGTGGAAGGAGAGAGCCGACTCACACACATGTAAGTAGATACAATTTTTAAAATGTGTGTTAAAAGCCTGAAAGGTGGCTTTTCCTCGGGGTGATAGTTCTTCAGTCATTTCTCTTCCTGGCACTTTGGACTCACACCTATGAACTCTAAGAAGTCCACTCCCACACCTCTCTCTGTCTCTACTGTGCTGAACCATGGTTCTGCATCAGCCCTGAAGTTCTCTCATAACAACCCTTAGTGAGCAATGAGATTTCATCTGGAAAGATGTCTATAGATCAAATCACCTTCATTCATCCATTCCTCCGACAATGCTAGGGAGGGTCTATGGGGTGCCAGGCATTGGAGACGGCCATGATCAAAACAAACACAGGAATCAAGTGAGTTGTAAAATGAACAAATAAGAATAAAGGATTAGTTGGTGATAGGACATAGAGAAAGTAAAGTAAGAGAAAGAGGGAGGTAAGACTACAGGTGTGGACAGGAGAGGGGGAGACTGAAATATTCCTCTTTTTTTAGCTGCAGTACTTTGTACCAGGCCCTGTACTTTACCCATTGGTCTTATCTCATCACCACTGGGTAAGGGAGGCATTATTATTCCCAGTTCAAAAAGGCAGAAAGAGATCAGGGAAGTTAAATAAACTTGCCTGAGGATCGGCTTTGGCTGGAAGGAAGATTCTTGACAGTGACTCTAGACAAACATCCCCTGCCATCAGCCCGAGAGTTTGGGGTGTCTATGAGGTGCAAAGCCCCCCAGAAGAAGTTCTATCACATTTCCTCAGGGCTCATGATAGGGACGCACATCCCAGCCACAGATATGTTGTGCCTTGGGAACAAATGAACCCTAAGAACCTATCCTGTGTGCAAGCAGCTCAAGCCCCAGAGTCCCACATCAACACAGGTGGGCACCCGTGGTACCCACCCACCCCCTTCAACACAGGTCGGCACTCGTGGTACCCACCCATCTAGGTAAGCTCTGGTGTAACTCAGGCTAGCCTCAAACTCCCCACACAACTGAGGATGACAATAAACTCCCCATCTTCCTGCCTCATCTCCCAAGTGCTGGGAATACAGGTGAGCACTACCCTGTCAGGTTATGAGGTGCTGGGGGTTGAATCTAGAGCTCCATCTCCAGCCCCAGTTCCTGATTTTCAACCCTCCCTGCCTCCAAGCCCACCTCAGCATTATAACTGGGAAATGACAGCTACAAGCAGGGTCACCATACAAATAGAGCTCCAGGCCGGACTAGGGTCAACCCTTCCCACTCCTCCCCCACTGGGCCTCTGTGAAGATGAGGGACTGGAAGCTGAGAGGCAGAAACCACAGATGTTCCAAAGAGCTTGCGTTGTCTTTGTTTTCGTGGCCAAGACACCATCCTCTCCCTCAAGTCGTTCTGGCGGGTTGAGGTCTCCAAAGGCATGAAGCCCCTAAGACTCAAAGAAAAGATGGTCCCTAAAGCGGTGTGTTAGGCTCCCGAGAGATGGCCCTCTCTGGGCCAAGCCAGGCTGAGATGGCATCAGGCTGCCCAAACCCCAGAGGTTTCCTCTCTACCTACTGCCTCCCTGGAAGGGCAGGCCTGTGCTGAGCTTTAAGTGGTTTCTGCGGTTTCAGGGGTGGGGAGGAAGGGAAAGAAGGGCTGGTGGCTGCTCCCCATTTCCAAGCCGTCACCACCCCCCTCCAGGTTGTTTGCCCCCAGCTTTGAGATTCCTGGGCCTGATAAGGGGACTGGGCACGTGGGGGGAGAATGATTCTCTGATCCCTATCAGCCTCTTCCTTGCATAAGAATGTATTTGAAGAGGAAATAACCCCTGCCCTGCTTAGAAAGCACAGATTCCTACAGAAAAGGAGCAGTAGTTACAGGGAGAGGCGGGTAGGTCAGGAAAGAGGGGGAACATCCCAGAGACACTAATCCCAGCACCTACTCTGCTCTCTTTACCAGCTGAGTAAGGCCAAGGTCACCCTGGATAACAACAGTACACTCACTCACCCTATGGCCACTGTGGGAGGAGCAAACGGCTGAAGCTGTTGGAGCAGTTCCCCCATGTGGTCTCGACCTCCTGGTAGTTGTGAGCAGGGAGAATTCTCTGGCCAAGGTGTCAGTCTAGGTAGGAGAAGGAACCTAAGCCCACACCCCAGCAAGCTGGAGGCAGTGACCAAAAGCTGGGCGTGGTGGCTCCTGCCTGTAATCCCAGCCGCACTCAGAAGGCTGGGGGAACTGGATCTATGTGAATGTTCAAGGCCACTTTAGACGACAGAGTAAGACCCTGTCTCAACAACAACAAGACAATGAGTGCCGGGAAAGCAAATGGCGCCCAAGGCCTACAGCCAGAAGCCTGTCTTCCCAAGCCCCGGTCACTTCCTGAGCACTCACACACGAGCGTGAAGGGTACAGCGGGAGAAGCAGCCATTCGGGCAGTGTCTGCCAGTGCGTACGGTGTGCCATCTGCAAGCATCCCTCAGGGCCTCCACCCTGCGCCTCTGGCTTGAGGAAGGGGTCATCTGGAAGGCCTTTAGATCTAGAATCACCAAGAGAAGCCAAAAGAGGAAAGGATGTGGCCAGTGATGCAAGCCTGTACCCCAGAGCAGGGTTGTGAGTTGGAGGCCGCCTTGGAAGAGCCCACTTCAAAAGAAAAGAGAGGGGCTGGAGAGATGGCTCAGAGGTTAAGAGCACCGACTGTTCTTCCAGAGGTCCTGAGTTCAATTCCCAGCACCCACATGGTGGCTCACTACCATCTGGCTCCCTCTTCTGGCCTGCAGGGATACATGAAAACAGAACATTGTATATATAATAAATAAATAAATCTTTAAAAAAAAAAAAAAGAAAAGAGAGAGAGAGAGAGAGAGAGAGCTGGAGAGTGAGCTGGAGAGTGAGCGTGCGCTGGAGAGATGGCTTAGCAGTTAAGAGCATTGGCTGTTCTTCTAGAAGGACCCAGGTTCAATTCCCAGCAGCCACATAGTGACTCACAACCATGTATGACTCCAGTTCCAGGGCATGTGACATCTTCTTCTGTCCTCATAGTAAACCAGGCACATAAATGGTGCACAGACAAAACTGCAGGCAAAACGCCCATACACATAAAAAATTAAAATTAGATAAAAATAAGAAACAAAAAAGCAGGGGAGTTGGTAAGGCACAGGGAACTGAAGAGTGATGGACAGGGAAAGAGAATCCTGCGGGAGCACAGGAAAAAGCAGGAGGGGTAATTCTGGGGTAGGCATGAACAAGGAAGGTCCCCATCCCCTTAACGCCCCAGCCTTCCCTCCTGCCTCTTTCTGGCTCTGCTCTTAGGTAGAGTCCTAGGTGGGGTGCCGGTACCAGAATTTTGCCTCTTACCTCAAAGCTCTCCAGGCTGGCTTCCTGTTCTGAGCAGAGAAGTATACATGGGCCCGTGTTTACCAAAGGCCATGGAGAGTCTGAGGAGATGATTTAGGCAGTGAAGTATTGCCAGAAGAGCACGAAGGCCTAAGTTCAATCCCCAGAACCCACATAATAAAACAGGGGTACAGTGGGGGGGTCGGCACTTGTAGTCTCAACAACGGAGTGTTGGAGACAGTCAGCTCCCTAGGGCTCATTGGCCAGTCAGTCTAGCCAAAATGGTGAGCTCCAGGTTCCAGGAGACCCTCTCTCAAAAAAACAGAGAGGGACTGAGGAAGACACCAGATGTCAACCTCTAGCCTCCACACAGGCACGCACACTCACATGTGTACACACATCCACACACATGTGTACACACACATGAACATGTACACACACAAGGGATATGGGAATAGTCAGAGCCTCAAAGTCCCTCAAATGTTGTTTCACTCCCCAAGCCCTTATCAGTCACCCTAGGAGTCAGAAAGGCGATTTCTCCTCCTCTTTGTTCCTGAGGTTTAGGAAACTCAACTCCCCAGAGACATAGGTGCCTGCAGAGTGTGAAGCTCCAAGGACAGGCAAGAGTGGAGAAGGAAGTGACAGCTCCCTGCCCTTTCCACGCCAGGTGCCACGTGCCCAGGTGGAGGGAGTGGGCGAGTCACGAGGCCCTGGCGTGGCTGGCTCCTGCTCTGCTGTTTACCAGCTGGAGAGAGCAGGAGGAGGGGCTGGGAGCCTCCTGATTGCAGCCTGGCCCTTAGCCAGGGGCTGTTGGGTAAGCAGGAAAGCCAGGCCCAGCTAATCAAACTCTGGGTGGCGGCCACGCCGAACTGTGGCATCCAATATCCACAGAAGCCATGGCTCTTGACCCTCCTCAGACTCCAGTGCAGGCAGGCCTTCATGTGAACAGGCGTAGTCGGGGGAGAAGGGGAAATGGAGTGTGTGTGTGGGGGGTCCCCTCCTCCTAACTTGTCGGTCCAATGCTGTTCCTATCTTCCGTTCTCCCCTCCTCTCTCTTCCCCTGGCTCTCCACTTTGCTCCTCCTTCTCCACACATTCCCCCCACCCTCCACCCCTCCAGGAGTATGGGAAGCACCTAGAAGCCAGGGAAATCCAGAGGAGGGCAGCATGCAGTTAGATCGAGGCAAAGTAGGCATGTGCTCCAGGAACCCAACATGCAGAAAAGTACATCTGACCTCACCCTGGGGACCAGAGTCCATGGCACCCCCCCAAACACACACACACACACACACACACACACACACACACACACACACACACACACAGTCTTTTCTCTTCACTCTTCCTCTTTTACCCTTCTTGCTATTCTGTCACCTGTCCTAGTCTGCTCAAAAGTCACGAAGACCTGGGTTCAAATCTCAGCTCAATCACAAATGACCCTTGTGAAGTCCTTGGCAAGTCTTCTCTATTCTGAGCAACAATGGATTCATGATTGTGAATAATCACACTTGCCTGCAGAGGCTATGGTGTGGGTTTCCAAAAACCACAATCCTGATTTTTCCGACAAGGCCTGGCAAGGGGCTCAGCACACAGTAGGTAGTCAATAAATGCCAGCCCCCTTTCACCTAGCTGTTTCTCCTCAAGACTACAGCCACCGATCCACTGCTCCCTCCCTCAGTGCCCTCCTCGTGCCAGGACACTCTGCCAGCCACTCCTTTCCCCTGCCTGCTGACGGGCCAGGTGCTCCCTCCCTCTCCCTCCTCCTCCCTCCCCTGGGCCCTGCTCCCTGCCCTCCTGGGCAGCCAGGGCAGCAAGGACGGCACCAAGGGAGCTACCCCATGGACAGGGCCCCACAGAGACACCACCGACCATCTCGGGGTAAGAGGCCCTAGAGCCCTGCAGGCAGGTGGAGGAGACCTCCAGGAGGCCCAGAGGAGAGGAGGGATGGGAAGAGACTGGGAAAGAATTGGAGAGGCTTGGCAGAGGAGAGCAGAAGGGTAGGACAGGACAAGTCTTCATATAAAAGTAGGGCAAGCAGGAAGAAGGGCTGAGGTAACTGCAGGAGACTTGGGAAGACAGAGGAGTCAAGAAGGAAGAGCCAGGTTGGAGGGGGCAGGAAGGAGAAGCTGTGTTAGGGAGGCTAGATCCAGAGAAAGGATGGGAATGTGGCTGGCTCCCAGGCATGAGCAGGCCTCTCCCTGCCACAGGACCCTGGGCAGTAGTGACTCAAAGGGCAGCCCTCTCCACCTCCCCGTTCATTCACCACTGGAGTACCCCGTCTGCCGTCATGGGGGGGGGGGGGGGGTTGGGAGGGGCGTGGGGAAGGCCCAACTGCACCCTTCCAGCTGCTCCAGCCCAGCAGTGCCACACTTTCCTCCAACCTGTTCCAGGAGCTTTATCTCTGCAGAGTGGGAGGCACCTGTGGAGCACAGGAAGGAACAGCGTGAACAGTCCTTGGCTCCACCAACCATGTGAGGAGGGAGCCCCTCAGATCAGGACACCCCCCCCACACACACACACACACCATGCTTGTCAGCTGGGAACCTAGGGAGAGTGAGTGACAGAACTACCAGCTTCCAGGGCCACCTAGAGAAAGGTCCCTGGGGCCAACAAGGGGAGTGCCTCCATGCAGGACTGCTCAGAACTGCAAAAGCTGGAGGCTTGACAGGATGCCACGTCAGGGAGGAAACTGAGTCGGACCAGACAGGATTAGCAGGGAGGTGGGCATGGCATGAAGCCACACCCTCTCTGGGCAGACCTTCCCCTCCCCAACCCCGGGGAGCCAGACCACTAGGCCCCACTGGCCATCATGGCAATGAAATGCGGGAAGTCCGGGGGCAGGGTGCATCTCCTGGCAGAGGGACATGTGTCAGTCTCGGTCCGCAGGAGGCAAAAAGTAACAGAACTGAGTCAAAGGTTAGGGACATTGCAGGCAGGGCTAACGGGCTTTCTGGGACAAAACAACTGGCCCTGGGCACTGTGTGGATTTAGGAAATGGGATAGAGGTCTGGCAAGAAAGCCTCTTTTGCCAAGGGCTCCCTCTCTAGGTGTTCCCCAAATAATGAGAGCATGCATGAACAACCCTGTAAGCATGCAGTAGCCAAGACTACCCGCCTCAGCAGCTGCTTCCTTGGACAGCAGAGTGTTTCTACAAACCTCTATGGACCACCCTGGGCCACCTACTGCCTGATCTCCACCCAGACCTAGGCCCAGAGCAGAATAGCCAGGAAAAGGGTTCTCTCCTCTGCAGGCGTGGGGGCCAGTGAAGCCCGCAGAGGTAGCTAGAGAGGGTCTGTCCACAGCTCTCTCCCCCTTGTCTTCCTCTTCCACCACCCATCCCCACACGCCTGCAACTCCCTCGCGCTTCCTGGCACAGATAAGCAGCCGAAAGATTGCATTCCCACAGGAATTTAACTCTGGGTGCAGAATATCTGTGTACTTCAAATGCACCAGATACCAGAGGGTTCTGGGTGTCCCCAGAATAGCAAGCTGAACAAGACAGATAGTAGCTCTGCCTCAAGACAGGCTTGCAATCCACAAGGGACCATGGCACACACCTAGGGCAGCTGGCTGTTACGTCAAGTGCCAGGAAACAACGCATGGTGCTGACTGAACAAACCCCAGGGCAGGGGAGAGGGCATGGGCGGCTGTTCCAGAGGAAGAGAGACGTCTGAGACGAAGGGGTGGGAGGAAGGCAGAGTGGCATGGGGAAGTCCTGGAGGCAGAGAGGAGCTGGGCACTTTCAGGACCTGGAAGAGAGCCAGTGTGGCCAAAGGGCAAAGAGATGGGCACTGCTGAGGGGGCCCAGCTTCGTCTCAGAGGCCAGGCAGTGCTAAGAAAAAAGTGGGGTAGGGTGGGAGCCAGTAACTGGGGAAGTCTGGGCCCCGGCCGCCCCCCACCACCACCATGTCTTCAACTGTTGACTGGCCCCTTCCTTCTCTTCTCTTTACAGAGCTGTTGGCTGCAAAGAAGACTCATACTTGTGAGTAGGGGTTTGGGCCAAGAAGGTGGTACTGGGGATAGAGAAACAGTTCAGTTCAGGAGGCATGAGTACAAGAAAGGCCCAGGACTGGACACAAGTGGAACAGGCAGGCCGAGATCACAAGGCCCAAGAGATGAGGTCCAAAGGAAAAGACCTACAGTCCAAGACAGTGAGGGACAAAAAAAAAAAAGAAAAAAAAATGGAGCCCAAAGAGTGTCAAGTAACAAGCAGTGTAAAGAAAAGGGGAACTGTGGAAAGAGGTGGGCGGGGTGCTGGACAGAGGCTCAGGCTGCCAGGGCTGGAGCAGAGAGGAGGTTTAAGGCCACCCCAGCCTCGGAACTCAGCAGCCACAATGGGAGGCCTAGGAGCGTGCCCAAGGCTTTGTGGTGGCAGAGCCAGGTTTGGTGTGTTCATCTCTGTGGTTAACACGTTCTGAGGTGTGAGCAAGCCTGGATCGAGGCTCTGCAGAACTAGAGAGCAGGAAGCCTGGTCTCTGTAAGAAAGAATGGACAGGGACTTTGTTTCTTGGGGTCCTGAAATCCTGAGACTAAAGTATGTAAGGAGGAGACTAGGGTTCCAGAAAGACTTCCCAATGGACACTTGCAAGTAAGCATCTTCTCTCAGGCCATTGTAACACCCCCAATCCAGCCACAGAGAGACAGGCTATTCCCCGACAAAGTGTGTCCGTCCACTCCACCAAAGTCCTGCCCGGCAGGCTGGGAGCACCTTGGAAAAAAAGACTTACACAAGCGTGGTCATCAAGTTGATGATGACCGTCTCATCAGAGGAGGTAACCTCCACACCTCGATAACATACTCTTGGTCCACCCTTTCCTCCCAGTGCCAAAGCCATCTGCAGCCTTTGTGTCCCAGCATCCCTCCTCCCTGAGTTTGGGGCTAGCTAGGATACTCTGTCCTCCTGGGGAGTTGGGGCTGCTTGGCTCAGCACAATCCTGATCAGCTTCATGTGCCACTAGCCACAGGGCCCCACGGAAATGTTGAGCAGGGCCCCCGGGGAGGAAAGCGAGTCAGAATGACGAAGACAAGCTGGGGGAGGAGACCAGGGACCACATTGGGGGGGAAAAAGGGACTTTTGGAGCAGTGGGAACTGGGAAGGACCAAGCCTCCAGCCATGCCTCCTGCCCTTTTAGTCCCCACTATGAATGTCCTCATGAGGGTCCAGGCTGGCCACCCTCACCAATCCAATGCGCAACTTCCAAGCCAGCAGAGAGAGGCTTGTACTGGTTGAAGAGCTGAGGGTTCCAGCAAGATCGAAGACCTCTCAAGGGGGTTGACCCAAATGTTGAGATCCTCTCCCTGACCCCAGGCCAAGGAAATATAAACTGCTCCCCAAGTGAAATACCTCAAGAAAGGCGTCCAAGATGAGAAACTCAGGGGCCACACCCAGACCAAGAGGGAGTCAGTCTAGTGACTAGGGTCAGAAAAGGAACCTCCAACGCTGAGGCACCCCCACAGAGCAGACTGGAAAATGAAGGGACCCATCAGTAAGAAACCTCACACCAACAAAACCTACAGAGAAACTCGAGTCCCAGGAGACAGGCCAGCCTGAGACACACTCAAAGGCAAACTTGAACCAGATAAAACCCCCATGTCCCTCAAGTGGACCTGAGGTCACTCTGCCTGTCCACTCGACCATTCTCGACCAGTGTGACCTTGAGCAGGTTACTTAACCTCTCTGTGTCTCCCCTTACTTGTCTTTGAAATGGTAGCTATCACATCAAGTATTTTGTGGGGATTACATAATCCACACAGAACTGAGTCATTCATTCCCCGCACTGAGTTAAGCACTATGGTTAAGAGGACAAGGGTGGTGGTGCTCACTAGCTGTGTTCCAGTCCAGCAGTCTTGTTCCTAAAGGCCTTTCTGAAGGACCAACCAACCCGTCCTACAGAGTCTTGGGTACTTGCCTAATGATACTACCACTGTCATTTCCTCAGCCCAGGGTAGCATCATGTGCGGAGGAGCAGTGTGGGTGTGGTGAGGGTCAGTCGTCTCCTGATTACACCACCCTGGGTATGGCTATTGACAGTCCACAGGGTTTCAGTGCCACATGACACCACCCGAGGCAGATATTCTGTGACTTACCTCTGGGACATCCCTACCCCTGGTGTGTCACCTGGAAGAGGGCCCTGGGGTGCTCAGGAAGAGGGGATTTCGAGCCCAGCCTGTGCCCATGAGCTCCACGAAGCTCCCCAGCTAGAACTGCCCTGGCGAGTGGAAACAGCTTTTACCACGGCTGTGGCTGTGGTTTTGGAATTTTCCAACGCCCCCTGTGATTGGCTGCCCCGCCCCTCACACACTGCCCCAGACCCAGATTGGCCACGTGGGGTGCCTGTCATCATACACAGTGCACCTCTGGGGGCTGGGGGGCTGTCACTTGGCCACCTGTGTGGTGCAGAGCTTAACCGCCCCCCCTGCCCAGAAACACTGGGGGAGAGCTTTGTGCAGATCTGCGGGCTGAGGCGCCGCTAAGAGGGCTTCACCCCACCTCCACTGCCAGCTGTGCGCTGTCCTGGGCTACCCTACTGAGGAGGACAGGGAGCCAAGACCGACAAGCCTAGGCTCAGTCATGAGAAGTAAGTGAATGGGCCACCTGGGGAAGCCTGGGTCCTACTGAATAGGAGGGGTGTCTTGGAAACAGTGCCTCCTTGGCAGGGTGTGTCCCAGCCAAGGTTGAGATCTGCTGGGAGATGGGTGGAGTCCCCAGGGAGTTTCTCTCCCAGAGGCAGCTTCATTGGCAGCAGTGGTAAACAAATGGTTGAGGAGTTCCTGCCATAAGTTCTAGGAAGACTGAGCATACCCATGGTGTCCAGCATGGACAACAAAAGATTCACAAAAGAGACCAAGACCAAGGGAGGGGAGTGAATCACTCAAGAGCTCACAGCTGGGGCCTGGGAGCTGGTGGAGGTTGGTAGTCATCAGGACTCAACTTACCTTCCTAGCTCCCCGGGAAGAGTTTCTCTTTGTGCCTCCAAACACAGGTGCTGCTGTGCCCTGAAGCAGGAGTCACAGTAAACTGAGGTTAGAAGGCAGTGGGGGTCAGAAATCACCGTTTAGGCCTCAGAACCTCCAATCTGCCTGACCAGCCCCCCCCCACACACACACACACACACACTGGGTCACGGTGGGAATGCTCTGTGTGTGTGTGTATGTGTGTGTGTGTGTGTGTGTGTGTGTGTGTGTGTGTGTGTATGTGTGTGTTTACGTATGCACTTACATGTGCCTCCAGGTGCAGTTGCCCATCTGAGGCAAATAGAGATGGGAGCAGAAAGCCCTTGGCCTCACTCCATTCCCTGTTTGGAACCATGGGCTGACAGCTGCTGGGCAGATGTCTGGGGCCCATTTGTCTTCCAGCTGAGCAATGTGGGCAAATCAGACCACCCTCCATGTTCATGTAAGGGAAGCCAGAAGGCTTCTCAAAGTCCAGGGCGAATGAGGAAAAGGGAAGCCTGTAACCCTGAGGCCTGTAACCTGAGGCCTGAGGCAGCCCCAGCTTCAGCCTGGGGTCTTTCCACAAGCCACAGAAAGGAGGCCATTCTGGGTCCTGGAAAGACCCACGGACTGAAAGTCTAGTGAGCAGGTTCCAGCAGCAGGTCACCTGAGGCAAGCCACCGGGCTCTGGGCTCCGGCCACAAAACAAAAGCGTTGACTTTCACAACGAAACCGAGCATGGAGAGTCTCCCAGTTCTAAGAACCCTGGACCAAGAGAGACCCCTTGTCCCCAAATGAGGTACCCCCAAGGGTGAAAGAGAATCTACCCGCCCCCCTCCCCATAACATACAAGGAAAGCAGGTCAAGTTGGTATCACCACTTGCATGCATGGGGCAGGACCCCAGCCAGGTCAGGGGCTGGAGCCTTGGTGGGACGGGCGGACTGGGAGAAGAGCCAAAGGTCCTGATGATGGGAGTAGGAGCTGCAGACTCTTCCCTGGACGTCACAGAGACAGCTCCAAACCACCAGTCAGCCCTGGGATGTCATGTTTCTGCATACTTCATGCCCAAGCAGGGGCAGAAGTTCCCAACAGTGGCTGAGGGAGACACTTGGGCAACTCTGCATTACACACACACACACACACACACACACACACACACACACACAAGCTTTCTGACCCTATTGAGTGCCAGTTGCCACCAGCTTGGGACCATGCCACACCAAAGAGCAAGGCCAGAGAAACAAGGAACAGAAGGAACCTAGGAAATAAGTGATGGATTAAAGGTTACAGAGTGACTGATGTCCAGACGGAGGAATACCAGGATTGCCATAGAGTAAGATGCCCAGAGACCACTGGCCACAGGTTCTAAGGCACAGACACGAGGGAGATGGTAAAGAAACTGGAGGGTGTCTCATAACTAAACAGACCCACTGCCGCCGCCACCAGCCAGGGGTGAATAGCCCAGCCAGCTTACTATTAGGAGCTGGTCAATGTGGACTGAGTAGTCAGGATGTCTAAGAGTGGGAGGTCACATGTCTGTCATCTTCCTTGAATCCAGCCATGATAATGCAGAGCAGTGGACCATAAAGAACTCCAAATCCCCAGCATCGTGTGTGTGTGTGTGTGTGTGTGTGTGTGTGTGTGTGTGAATTACAAGTGCCATAGAGTTCATGTGGCAGGCATAGGATAGTTTTTGGTAGCTGATTCCTTCCCCTAGAGTTCTGGGGATCGAATTCATGTCGTCAGACTTTTGTAGCTAACGATTTTGCCCACCGAGCCATCCCATGGCCCTATTTGGCTTTGTTTGTTTATTTGCTTGTTTGTGACCAAGGCTCATATAGCTCAGGCTGGACTTGAACTCACCATACAGCTGAGGATGACCTTGAACTTCTGCCCTGCCTACCCCTGCTTCCCAAATGCTAGGATTATAGGAGTGCACCCCCATGAGCCTTGCTCCCTGTGGGCCTGCCTGTATCACCCCTACAGCCTTCTCATTTCCTTTCTCCTCCTTTCCAGCCGAAACCCCACCTGCCTCAGGCTCAGGGTAC